TTACTTCCCTTTATGTTCCTTTATCTTCCTTCATTTATAATATAATTGCCTTAAATATTTTCTATACATTTGGAGCCATAAGAGACAGTGTTATAATTTTTGCTGTTAAACATAATTTAGAAAACTCAAGAGAAGGAAAATGTATTTAGTCATATTGTAGTTTTCTTCATTGTTCTTTCTTTGTGATGTTCCAAGATTCCTTCTTTTACCATTTCCTTTCTGTTGAGAGAATTTCCTACAGTGTTTCTTTTAGGATAGGTACAATGGTGATACATTCTTTTAGTTTTCCTTCATTTGAGAATGTATTCATTTTTCCTTCTTTCTTGATATTTTTGCTAGACATAGAATTTTAGATTGACAGTTTTGTTCTTTTAACACTTGAAATACATGTGTCATTTCCTTTTGGCTCCCATGGACTCTGATGAGAAACCAACTGCCATTCAAATAGACTTTCCTCCATGAATAATGCATCATTTCTCTCTGGCTGCTTTCAAGATATGTTCTTTGCTTTAGTTTTCAAAAGTTTCATTATGATGTGTCTTAGTGTAGATTTATTTGGGTTTATTCTGTTTTGGATTTGCCCAGCTTCTTGACTCTAGGTTCATATCTTTTGCCGAATTTGAGAAGTTTCTAACCATTATATTAGTACCTTTTCAGACCCACCTTCTAATTCTTGGTCTTGATAGGACAAATGTTAGAGCTTTTGTTATAGTCTTACAGGTCTCTGAAGCACTTTTTATTTTTCCCTCATTTTCAGTTCATTTTCTTTCTGTTGGGCAATTTCTATTGATCTATTTCCATGGTCACTAATTCTTTCCTCTATCCCCTCCATTTTACTGTTGAGTCCATCCACTGAATTTTTGCTACTGAGGTTTTCTATTTCTAAAATATCATTCAGTTTTTTAAAAAATCTCATTTCCTGAGAGCCTATTTTTTCATTAGTTTCAAGCATGTTTATTAATTCGTCATTTTAAAAATTTTAAAGATGTGGGGCGCAATTCAGGATTAGGTATACAAGTGGTCATTGTATAGGTAATGTCTGAACTCCCTTTGGTCCCCACTTTGCCTGGTTTGAGGTTTCAGATCTAACTCCTCATTAAAGCAGCATTTTATAATGGCTGCTTTAAAATTTTGTCAGATAATTTTAATATATCTGTCATTCTGATGTTGGCATGATTGTGTTTTTCATCGAGTTGAGATTTTTCTTCAAGAAATGATTTTCAACCTAAACATACGCATTTCGGGTGTTATGTTATGAGACTCTATATCTTATTTAAATGTTCTGTTTTAGGTTTTTTTGTGACATTGCTCTGGCAAGGAAAGGGGAGAATGCCACCTCCTTACTGCGGGGCCAGGTAGGAGCCCAGGTTCTCTATTTGACTTCGTTGACACTCAAAGGGTAGAGTAGCTCCTCATGACTTCAGGGCAGGAGTAGGATTTCTGACTTCCCATTAGGCTTCTATTGTTACCATCTTGGCTAGAACAGTCCTTTGTCATTTCTCCCCATGTGACCTCCACTGATATCATGAGTGTGAGGCAATGGTGGCCCCATTACTACTGGGCAGTAATGAATGTCTTAACTCTCCACTCAGCCTTTTCTGGATAGCACCCTATCAGGGAAGAAGAGGGGTGGCTCATTACTGCTGGGCAGAGGGTGAGGTCCAGAATTACCACTTGATTTTTGTAAGCAAGTGGGGGGATATAAGGCCACTGTTTTTACTATGGTGTGTGGCCGGAGTTGAGCAGTTACTGTTTAACGTCTTTTTCTGTTTTGGTTTTTGTTTTTGGTAAGTATAAGAGACCAGAATATATCATTCCAAAGTATGACTGTAGGAGACCAAACTATGCCATCCCTAAAGACGCCTTTTGGCAAAAGGGTTATTCTAAGCTGATTATTTCGAGAAACTGCAGATCCAAAACAAAAGCTCTGAGAATAGAAGTTACCCCCACATTTTTTTTAGAGAGAGAAATTCATCTCTATAAAGGAAATCTTCATTTGAAAGGGTGTCTCCCTTTCTATACCAGGAAGAGAAAGATGACTCCAAGCCACTTATCAATGGAAAGAGTACTAACTTCAATCTGTACAACGTATCTTTCCCTTGTTTGCAGTGCTTTCTCAGGTCACCTCCTCATTACTGGCCTCCAGACATCTGTCTTTAATTGTTTCAGTTGAAGATCATATTTAAGAACACAAAGCCATCTCTCTGAGATTTACTCATGTTTCTGGGTATCTCCCATGTATACATGAGATATACATGTTAATACATTTATATTTTTCTTTTGTTAATCTGTCTTTTGTAACAAGGGTCTGTCCCAACTAAGAATTACACAAGGTAGAGAGAAAATAATTTTTTCTTCCCCTATAAAATGCTGCCCTTTTTCTGGTCTTTTGGAAAGAGAGACTAGGTGTTTGCTGGGGCTTTTCTGTCTCTGCTCTTTGATGTTTCTAGCTCCAGATCTAGGATACATGTGGTAAAACGAAACCCCATGGAACTCACCACTGTGTTTTTCCTTGGGCCCCAAAGTTCCATAATCAACCTTCTGTTCTTCACCTTCAACACTATTCTTAATGTTTATTTTATATATAATATTCAGAGGTTTTAGTGTTTAGCAGGAGAAATAAGGAAAAATACATTTACTCCACTTTCCTGACAAGAGATGACCTAGGAGGAACATGGAGTCCCTAACTGAAGAATGCTTTTAAAAATCCACTCTACATGGTAAAATGAAAATGCCAAGAAGAAAAAAAAAAAACTATAAAGGGAAGTAAAATGATCTTATTGAAGTATATGTGGAGAATTTTGCATACATGTGCCAGAATTTCAAATGTTGATTCCATTTGGTCTCAAGTAATTTCCAAAGGTGGACTGGACCTTAGAGATCATCTAGTCTAACTCTTGATTTGATCAACAACTGATAACCAAAGAGAAAAAGTGACTAAGCTGAGACCACAGGGTGAGTCTAGGGCAGATCCAAAATGAGAGTTGAGGGTTTAGACGTCCAGTCAGTGCCACTTTCACCCACCAGGCAATCTCTTCTTTTCTGTAACATGAGGGAAGGATGATGAGTTGGACCAGTTGGTATTTAAGGGAAATTTCCATCTTCAACCTCTGGAAATTCCTAGGACTGTCCTTACCCTTGCTTACTCTCTCCCTATCTCATCTTTTTTCACCACTGTGCTAAGGTTGTAACAAAGAATGGGAGCTGGGTGGAACATGGAGGAAAAAACATCCACAAACATAAAAAATATATTAAACCTTGTATTTGTGAGGACTATTTCTTGTTATATATTTTGAAAAACATTTACATACAAACTATAGCTATGAAAATGAACTGGCAGGGCTATGACTTGTTTCTAGATTCACTATACAAGTGATCTTACAGCATTCTTAATACAGGTAAGTGTGGGAAACATTATTCAGGAGTCCTGCCTTTATCATTAACTAGGGCAAAAAGATAGTAGCAGCTACGGTGGAAGGAAGCTTATCAGAGTGGCAGGTTGCCTATGTTTGAACACTACCCACTAGTTTTGTGACTTCAGGCAAATAATGTAACTTCGTTAACCTCAGTTTCTTCATTGTAAAACAGAGACAGTAATAATACCTAAATCTAGGCAATCCCCTCAGGTCCCCTCCCACTGTGGGAGCTTTTATGTTCTCTCAATAAATCCTGCTTTCTTACACACACACACACACACACACACACACACACACACACACACACCTCAGGTCCCCTCCCACAGTGGGAACTTTTATGTTCTCTCAATAAATCCTGCTTTCTTACACACACACACACACACACACACACACACACACACACACACACACACATAAAACCTAAACCTAAACCTTATCAGTTCTCCTGAGAACCACTGTTCTATAAGCTTACAGCAGTGTCATCATCAGTTGTGGCAACTATTGTTGTTATAACATTCACTGGAAGTCTATTATAAATTAAAAAGACTAGATAGAAACTTTGTATATATTATCATGTCTAATCCTAGAGTAATCAAAGTATGAGGTATTATTATCGCCATTTTATTAAGAAGCTAGAATTATTTTATTATGAAAGTCATTTAAAATACAGTATAGGCCGAGCTTGGTGGCTCAACCTGTAACCCCGTGCTTTGGGAGGCTGAGGTGAGTGAATTGCCTGAGCCCGCGGGTTCGAGACCCGCCTGGGCAACTTGGCGAGACCTCATCTCTACAATAAATAAAAAAAATTAGCCGGGCGTAATAGCGCACGTCTGTAGTTCCAGCTACTTGGAAGGCTGAGGCGGAAGGATCGCCAGAGCCCAGCAGGTCGAGGCTGCGGTGGCTGGGAGAGGCCACTGCATTCCAATCTGGGCGACTGAGTGAGATTCCAACTCAAACAAAACAAAACAAAAAAATAAAAAATAAAAAATAAATATAGTACAAATTAGTATTATCTAAAAAAGTAGATTACATTTTAAAACAACTTTTGAAGGAACAAAGTAAAGTAGCAAAAAAAAACCAAAAACCTTACATATTCAGAAAATACAATCAGCAAAGTACCCAGTATTAAAGTACTTACTATGATGACTATTACTTTTATAATTTGAATCCTCCCAAAAACGTTTAAAGGAGGGGAAAAAAACATCACCTGCTAACTCTACAAGAATATTAGGTCTTGTTTCCTTGAGCTGTATTTTGCAAAGTGTTCCCACTGAGCTGATAGGGCACACCCTAGATTCCTGTAGGGACTCCATATATACTATGTTCTAAGTAACAGGAGAAGTGCTTCTCACCATCCTGCAGCTAGAGTGTAGAATCAGAAGCATAAGTTATATTAAGATTGATGAGGCTTTTCTATCTGTTATACAGAAATTCCCTCACTCTATTTTCAACATTAGTTATTTCTAGTTTTAACATTTTGGGAAAGAAGAAATCCAACAAATAGTTGCTTACTTGATAGCTGTCCACAATCAGAGATTATTCCATAAACACTTCTTGAGGCAAGAATAATAAACATATACATTTTTAAATTTGCTTACCAAGGCAGAAAGGTTCTAAGACATTCAATGGTGAAAATTCATTCTCCAGGTTCATTACTTGAAGGCCCATCCCGATTAGCAAGGACTTGATTTTCTCAGGGCATGGTTTCAGTATTAAGTAGCCAGCAGCATAGAGAACATACCGAAACCAGCACAAGAACGGGGTAGCAATTCTGCCGTTGGGTGACTCAGATATCCGCTCAATTGTTGGAAAGAGCAGAAAGGAGCGAATTACCTATAATAAAGAATCATACTTTGATGAGTGGTTTTCTTAAGGAATAGATAGCCCATTACCCTACAGTTTCTTCTATATAGTATTAACAAATGACTGAGTCTTAGAATGATTAGATATTTGTTCGAACTGAGAAGAACCACCACCGACTGCCCTCTCAGTCCATAACCAGTTTGGGGAGGATATAAAGATGTTGCTTGAGGTGTGGGGGTTAATTTTCAGAGTGGAAAGAAATTAGATTCCTAAGTAATTCTAAGATTGTAATAGCAATTTACAATTCCTTTGAAGGACTGTTAAAAGTAGAAACTGATATACCATTTTAGTAGTATAACAATTTGATTAACAAACAATACCAGAAGTAGAGCCTTTTCATAAAAGACTCCATTTCTATTCAACATTTTATTGATTATATTTGCAGACAGTTCTCATTTGAAAAGTTCTTCTATTTTCTAATTTTACCAGTCAGATCTTTAACAGAACCAAATATATTTCTAACAACTCATTTTCAACCTTAATAAAGTACAGGCCAGGTAAAAGGGAAGCTGGGAATCTATACCTACAAGGGAAAATGTTTAAGGACAAAAACTGCATTTCAACTCATTCCATCAGAATATCTGGAAATATACTTTTATAATACTGCAGTAGGAAAAAAGCATCACTAAAACCATTTTAAATTTCTCATTGTTGTTATTTTTATTGCTTTTTTCCTAGTTTTCACTGGGAGAAAAACATATAGTTATTTTTAAAAACAATATATAAAAATAGTTTCCATGGTATCAGAAAGTTATAATGGTTAAGAACAACCCCTATTACCAAGTAATGTAAATGGAATAGATCAACAATGTTAACAGATTGTAGTATAGGAAATGGGAATGCAGTCAAAGGTTGTATTTTTAAAACCATATTTTAATTTAAGTATAACATACATACAGAAGAACATATAAAATATAAAAGTACAATATAACAAATAATTATAAAATGATTAGCTAGGTGGGTCAAGAAACAAAACATTGTCAGAAGCCCTGCGTGTGCATCTTCCAATCACTTCTTCCTCTGCCCACATCTTAGGTAACCTTCCCTTTGTATCAATACTTTTCTCCACTTCCTTATTTTGTTTTACATTAAAACTTATCATCTCTTTAGTGCTGATTTTTGTCTGCTAATGAGCTTTATATAAATATAATCACACAGTATATTTTGTGGTTTTACTTGTTCAACATTACGTTTATAAAATGTATCCACATTGATGTATGTAGCAATAGCATATTCATTATTTTTGCTATATAGTCTTCCATTGCATGAGTACACCACAATTTATCTTGTTGATAGAGGTTTGAGTTTTTTCAATGCAGGACTATTATAAATAACCTGTCATTAATTTTTTTAGGTTAAGAGTATATTTTTGGCCACTGGTTTATTGATATAGTTCTCCAACCGAGAACAACAGTATACTTGAGAGGATGTTTTGTAAAATGATTCATTTCCATATATCATAACCACACTGAGGTTTAAATCTCCTTAAATATGGATAAAAATATATTAAAATGTATAAAATTCCACATGCAAATATTCTATTTATACATTTCTTATTTGAACATTTAGTCACACGGATTAAATAGTAATGACATTGTCTATCTAAGAATGTTTATAAGATGAGTGATCTCCTGAAGTCAAGTGTATTACATTCTTTAAAAAGACTTTTTTTTTTTAGAGCAGTTTTAGAATCACAGAAAAATGGACAGGAAGGTACAAAGATTTTGATTCCCAGAAATGAATGAGAACTGCTCCACATCCTGCTGCTCCAGATCCTTGTCAGCACTTAGTGTTATCAGTGTTCGAATTCTGGCCATTCTAATAGTTTATAATAGTATATCTCATTGTCATTTTAATTTATATTTCATTGATGCCATATAATATGAAGTATCTTCTCAAATATTTATAAGCCATTTGTAAATCTTCTTTGGCAAGGTGTTTATTAAGGACTTTGGTCCATTTTTTTCATAGTTTTTTTCTTTACTGTATATTTTCAATAACATTCCATTATCAGATGTGTCTTTTGCATATATTTTCCTCATTCTATGACTTTTCTTATTCTCTTAACACTGCCTTTCACAGAAATTTTCAGTTTTAATGAAGTCCAGCATATCTATTATTTCTTTCATGGATTGTGCTGTGCCTAGAGGTTGTATCTAAAAAGTCAACATTATACCCAAGGTCATCTAGGTTTTCTCCTATGTTATCTTTTAGGAGTTTTATAGTTTTGCGTTTTACATTTAGGTCCGTTTTGAGTTAATTTTTGTGGTGGATATACGGTCTGTGTTTAGATTAATTTTTTTTTTTTACAGGTGGATATCCAGTTGTTCCAGCACTATTTTTTATACAGATTATCTTTGCTATATTGTATTGTCTTTGCTCCTTTGTCAAAAGCAGTTGATGATATTTATGTGGGTTTACTTTGGGGCTCTCTATTCTGTCCCATTAATCATTTTATCTATTCTTTCAGCAATACCACACTATCCAAATTACTGTAACAATATAGTATGTCTTGAAGTCAGGTAATGTCAGTTCTCCAACTTTGTTCTTCTTTTTCAGTACCGTGTCAGCTCTTCTGGATCTTTTGCTTCTCCACGTGAATTTTAGAATTAGTTTGTCAATATCTACAAAATAACTTGCTGGGATTTTGACTGGGATTGACCTGAATATGTAGCTCAAGTCAGGAAGAACTGACATCTTAACAATACTGTATCTTCCTATCCCTGAGTATGGAATATCTCTCCGTTTATTTAGTTCTTTAATTTTGTTCATCAGAGTTTTACAGTTTTCCTCATATAAATCTTGTACATATTCTATTCAATTTATACCCAAGTATTTCATTTTGAGGGGGTGCTAATATAAATGGTATTGCATTTTTAACTTCAAATCCCACTTGTTTATTGTTAGTAGACAGGAAAGCAACGGACTTTTTGTACATTAGTTTTGTATTCTGCCAGCTAGTACTATAATTGCTTATTAGTTCTGGGAGATTTTCTTGTTATTGATGATTCATTCAGATTTTCTATATGGACAACTATGTAATCTGCAAAGAAAGACAGTTTTATTTCTTCCTGCCCAATCTGTATACCTTTTGTTTCCTTTTTTGGGGACTTAACTGCATTAGAAAGCGCTTCCAGTATGATGTTGAAAAGGAGTGATGATAGGAGACATTCTTGTTTTGTTCCTGACCTTAGTGGAAAAGCTTTGCGTTTTTTCACCATTAAGCATGATGTTAACTGTAGGTTTTTGGTAGATATTCTGTATGAAGTTGAGAAAGTTCCCCTCTATTCCTAGGTTACTGAAATAAATTAGTATACAGATCTAGAATTAAAATTAGGGTTTTAAAAAAATCATTATTGGGTGTTAAATTTTGTCAAATGCTTTTTAAAAAATCTGTTAATATAATCACGTGATTTTTTTTAGCCTGTTGATGTGACGAATTAATCGATTTTCTTTTAAAAATTTTATATTTATTGTAAATTGACAAATTACAGTTGTAAATATTTGTGGGGTACAAAGTGATGTTATAGTTTATGGACACAATATAGAATAATTAAATCAATGCAATTAGCATATCCATTACCTCAAATACTTACCACCAATTTTTGTGGTGAGAACATTTGAAATTTACTCTTTTAACATCTCAGTCCATTTTATGCTACTAAAAGAGAACACCTGAGTCTAGGTAATTCATAGAAAACAAAGATTTGTTCAGTACATTTCTAGAGGTTGGGAAGTCCAAAATGAAGGGGCTCACATCTGGAAAGAACCTTTATATTGCATCACCCCATGGTGGAAAGTGGAATATGACAGTATGAGAGAGCAAGAGGGTAGTATGCCAAACTCATCTTTCTATCAGGAACCCACTCCTATGATAACTAGCCCTCAATGATGGCATTAATCTATTAAAGAGGACTCTCCTCATGATGTAATTACCTCTTAAATGTACCACATCTCTCAACACTATGCATTGGGGATTAAGTTTCTAACACAGGAACATCAAGGGAATACATTCAACACATAGCATTTGGCAATTTTGAAACATTCAATACATTATTATTTACTGTATTTATCACATTGTGTCATGCATCTCAAAAAAATCTCTTTAATTGAGGTTTTGTACCCTTGGACCACCCTCTCTCTATTCCCCCCACTGCTCAATCACCAGATTCTGGTAACCCCATTCTACTCTGGGCTTCTATGCGTTCTATTGCTTTAGATTCCACATATACCATAAGTAAGAACAACCAGTGTTTATTTTCCAACACCTGGCTTAGTTCACCCATAAAATCTGTAGTGATGTCCTTTCTTTCAGTGTTGATATTAGTAATTTGTGTTCTTTTTCTTTTTTTCTTAATTAGCCTAGCTAGTGCCTTGTCAAAGTTTTTAAACTTTTCAAATAAACAGCTTCTGGCTCTTTGATTTCATTGACTTTCTGTATGAATTTCTGTTTTCAATTTTATTGATTTCTGTTTTAACTCTTATTATTTTTTTTTTCTGCTTACTTTGAATTTAATTTGCTCTTTTTTCTAGTTTGCTAAGGCAAAAACTTAGATGACTGCTTTTAGAGCTTTCTTATTTTCTATTACATACATTCGGTGCTAACAATTTCCCGCATACTACTACTTTTCCTAAGTTTTCTTTTAATAAGTTGTGTTTTCATTTTCATTTACTTTAGAATTATTTTTAAATTCCTCCTGAAATTTCTTTAACTCATGTGTTATTTAGAAGTTTGTTGTTTAAACTCTATGTGTTTTGGAATGTTCCCTTTATCTGTTATTGACTTCTAGTTTAATTCTGCTGTGGTCTGTGAGCAGACACTATATGGTTTCTATTTTCCTAAATTTGTTAAGGTATGTTTTACAGCCCAGATTGTAGCCTATGTTGGTGAATGACACATGTGAACTTGAGAAGAATATGTATTTTACTCTTGTTGGATGAAGTAGCCTATAGATGTCCTTTATATTCAG